ATCCAGCAAAAACCTCACAGTTTAATTGTAGAGCTGGCCTAGACACCATTCTTTCTTTCTTTCTTTCTTTCTTTTTTTTTTTTTGAGATGGAGTCTCGCTCTCTCACCCAGGCTGGAGTGTAGTGGCGTAATCTCAGCTCACTGCAAGCTCCACCTCCCGGGTTCACGCCATTCTCCTGCCTCAGCCTCCTGAGTAGCTGGGACAACAGGCACCCGCCACCATACCTGGCTAATTTTTTTGTATTTTTAGTAGAGACAGGGTTTCACCGTGTTAGCCAGGATGCTCTCGATCTCCTGACCTCGTGATCCACCCACCTCAGCCTCCCAAAGTGCTGGGATTACAGGCATGGACACCATACTTTCTAATTATCCTCCACCATAGCATCCTTTTGTCTTTAACTGTACATTATTACTTATGAGCTATTTTTACGAATTTTTTTTGACATACCAGGTTAAGGTATCTTCTTGAATTCACTATGAAGCTCATAAACGCTCTTGTCTCGTTGGTTTTTAGCTTCCTTTTGGTTCACTGTATATAAAATAGTCTATTGCATCAAATGCATTCTATTCATATAGAATCAACCACCATCAAATTTGGAAGAAAATTATTTTTGTTTGAGATTTATTAGAGGTGTCATCCCCTTCAATGATGATAAGAATTCAGAGTTGGTATTTGCTTCACGATGCATTGCCCTAAGCTGTAGCTTTCTTTACTTGGAATTCCAAATTCAGTTTTTCTGCCAGAGGGCCAGTTTCTTCAACTTGGTCTGTAGGGAAAGATCTTGAAGGAGAATTGAACCTGACCTTATCCAGTCATCTCCATTCCTAATGGTTTTGTTGTCCAGAGGCCTGGAGGGAACTTCAAATGATATTGGATGATACTGATTAAATTTGTTTATCTAGCTCATGAACACTTGGAATCCAACTGTGATGGATTGGATTGTTGTTGTCAAATCTTCACTCACATCCCTCAGCGTCTTGGGCAGATGTACTTCACTTCCTGCTGACGTGGATTGAGCCATATGACTTATTTTGGTCAATGAACCCTTATCAATCATGACTAGAGCAGAGGCATAGTTTGGCTGAAGCCTACTCTCCTGACATTCACCATGCAACAGATATGCACTGGGGATACAAGGAGGATGAGAAATACTTGGTACAGACTCAAGCCCAACCTGTAGCCTACTTCCGAATCCAGACATCCCACTTCATGAAGCAGTTGTCCCATTGAGCAACCTGCCTCAACCAAATCAGTCAAGCTGAAGATCTGTAAGGGTGAGAAGAAATGTTCATCTATGCAAGACGCTGAGGATTTTAGGCCTTTGTTTCACAGTATCAATGAAGTAAAAAGATAACTAATGTAACAGCTGACCTTTATTGACTATATAGAGTGTTGACTTTATTTTCATTAAGTACCTAAAATATAATACCAGATACTTTCTAAGCATGTTGCATGCATTACCTCTTTTGATTCTAAAACAAGCCCATAAAATAGATAATATCATTATCCTCATTTCAGAGGCTTAGGTTTTTGCCTTTGATGAAAATGATTCAAATAATTTATCAAAACTCACCCTTTTGAACATGGCACAAAAGTGGAATTTGGATATTCTTATTAAGATCAGCAAAGCAGATGTTTCTGAAATTCTTGAGGAACACTTACAACTTCTGCTTTTTAAGAATTTATTTTGCCAGTGTCATGTAGGCATGGCAGGATTAAGGCTGCCATTTTTTGACTACTTAAGTCAGACTCTGTGCTTTGATCATGTCATTTAGTGGACAATAGCCAGCTGAGTTTGGCACTAGTTTTATCAGCTTATATTATAGGACAGCTGATGTTTGGAGAGGTTAAGCTATGTGTTTAAGGTCACAAAGATTGCAGCTGATTCATCTAGAATTCTAACACAGGACTTGACTTCTTATCTATTACACTAAGCTACCTATTATGGTACTTATTTCTTTGCAGCACAATTTACCATGATTCCTATAGGTCGTTTGTAACCATTTTCTTTCTAGGAAGCATATATTTCATAGTTGAGTGATTTGAACAACTTTTGCAATTACAGATGGACAGATTGACACAAGGCACTATGTTCAAGGCACTGTGCAATGCAATGGAAATAAATAATTGGAAACGGTTTAGAACTGGGTATCAGAAAATCCAGGTTCTGCTGTCCCACGGTCATAAGAGCATAAGGGACCTCATATAAAACCTCCAGTTGAGCTTTCTATCCTATGCACTTACTGTATCAAATGAACTTACTGCCTCATTTGATGAATAATGTAGCCTTACATAGTGGTTCTTTTTCACTTTGTAAAAAAAGTTGGCTTTGGAGTCAATCAAAACTGTACTGAAATTCTGGCCCTGCTGCCTGCTGCATATAAATTTCACTTAGCTATGTCACCTTGCTAAGCTTCACTATCCTTATCTGTAAAATCCTAAGTGTAGAGCTAACATCGCACTCTTGCAGAGAGTAGAGAGTGAAATGTATTAAAGCTCTCATCTCAGTGACTGCCACAATAAAGTCAATAAGTCATATAACAACAACAACTCTTATAAGGAATTATGTCCAGTTCCCTCAACATTATATTCATTTGCATTTGGATATATTACTGTTTGAAAATATTACTCCTAAAAATATTACACTTAGAATTGAACACCTTCTTCTAGTTGACTTTCCATACCAGTTGAAAGTACACAAGACACAAAATAAGTCTGTTTTCTCTCCTTAGGTCTCAGTTTCCTAACATTAAAATGAGACATTTGGGTATCAGAAACTTTTGATTTCTTCCAAGTCTAAGAACAAAACCAGCCGGCAAAACTGGAAAAAAATAAAATAAAAGCATAATTCAAAGATGAAAAATCTGGGCAAATGTTAATTCTTATGTGTGTATGTGTGTGTGTGCATATGCACGTGCAGATGTATGATTGCCCTACTTAATACATTCACTATTTTTTTTGTCCCACAGAATGTTCTGTGTGTTCTGTGTCCTGAGCAGCTCAGAGAAAAGGGATGGTAATTTGGCAAATAACCAGCATACACTAAAAGACTTCTCTACTGGTCAATAAATAGCTACTGTTTCCTAAGTGGATGAGGATATTAGTGGTCACAGATTGTAGTTTATGTTGTTTCTGTTGTTTGCATATTCATCAACGTCATTTTAATTCTAAGGCAACCCTGAAGTGTGATAAATTCCATTTTACAGATGAAGAAACTGTGAGTCCAAGTGCCTAGATGATTTCCATTGAGTGTTAAAATGTGACTTAGGATTCTCAGTTTAAATTTCTGCCCCACTTCTTTGTGTGTATAATAGACTTAGTAATAACTTACGCATGTAGTTTGCTCTATGGTATATGACTGTCCCTGTCACTATACTGTGTCTACTTACAATCACAAAGAGTGTCTAGAAAGCTGGCAGAGGAAAACCATGTAGGATGATGTGATTGCTTTCCCAGAAGCAAGCAAATCCCCCATATCAGTATTTCTGGCAAAATCACGTGTTCTAAAGAATTTCAAAATTTATTGAAATTAAAAATTCCTGATAAAAGAGAGACCAGATAATGTTTTTCTTCTTTATTTTCCTCTGTCATTACCTCTCCTTTCCAGATTCTTAGTGTCGTGGGAACAAATCCAGGGAATGGCTCTTTTCTAGATGACAGTGGCCTTTCCACCAAGAGAATAAAACATGCACACACACACACACACACACACAATTTCTCAGGATTTGCCTGAGTCCTCCCTATGTATCGTATCAAATGCAACATATTTCAGTTCTTTTGTCTTCTAGAATTATTCCAGGCAAATTGCATACCCACTATTTGGCACTTCTCTGGTGATTATTCCTTCTTTTCAAATCAATTCTGCTGAAAACATTATCTTTTAATCATTCACTACAGAGTGGATCTCCCACTCTGGACATGCACTCTCTGTAGATGGTGCTAATGTGGTGTATTATAGATGATTACTTCTGTGTGTTAGAAAGGATTGGAAATGTTGGCATGTTTGTCATTGTTTGTTAAATCCTCTGAGGCCAATTGCTAATTATAAAAGCTTGTAACTTTAGGGACTTAGCCAATGACTCCAATTGAACTGTCAGCTTTTTCAGGCCAGACGAGATATATAAAAATTCTTCATTCTAATTGCTTTAATTAATGAATGGAGAGATAAGGCAACTCATAGGGCAAAATGCTGCAACATTGTTATAGCATTATTGCCTCACATGGTACCAAACTAACAAAAATCTGTTCTCCATGGATGGACACTGGGAATATCAATGGATGCACTTTTATAGGATACCTCCCCATTTACCTAATATATGAGAATATCAACAAAATATCTGACATGTTTGCAACTCTGGAAAGATTTAAAATTATCTTAGGTAACAAGCCTCAAATGCATGAAAAAAAGTTGAGACTCAATAAAAATTTTGTGGTAAAATACTTTTAGAGAAAGATAATATCATTTTTGGAGTAGTATTACCTCATAAGGATTTTATTACCACAAGTGACTGAGAAGAATGAGAGTAAGGAGAGACCAGGGCACATTAATAGGTCAGATGACTGAACCACTTTCCTTGAAATTGCCAAGCTTTTTCCTGCTTCTTTGTACTTATTCTTCCCTCTGGGTAGCGTATTCATGCTTCAGCTCTCCAATCAGCTGCCTCCTTCTCTTTAGATAGATCTGAGCTGTAAGATTACACCCCCCCACCTTAGAGTAATTCCTCTATCAACATATATCTTAGTTTACTTTCTCTTACTATAAAAGAATACCACAGACTGAGTAGTTTATAAAGATAAGAAGTTTATTTAGCTCACAGTTCTGGAGACTGGGAAGTTCAATAGCATGGTGTCTGCATCTGGTAAGGGCCTTCTTGCTTGCCATAACATGGCAGAGAGTATCACATGATGAGAAAAGGCAAGAGCAAAAGAACCAGAAAGAAGTTGCTTTTTATAATAAAGGCACTCCCACGATAATGAATTCAATCACATGATAGCAACATTAATCCATTCATGAGGGCAGAGCCTCATTAATTCATTAATTTATTAATTCATTCATGAGAATAGAGGGATTCACTTTTCAACACATAAACTTTGGAATACACATTTTAGCCATAGCATTCTGTCTCTGGCCCCCAAAATTTATGTCCTTCTTACATGCAAAATACATTAATTCCATCCTAATAGCCCCACAGTCTTAAGCATTCCAATATCAACTCAAAGTCCAAAGTCCAGAGTCTCCTTTAAATCAGATATGAGTGACTCAGGCGTGATTCATGCCATGGCAAATTTCCTCCAGCTGTGAACCTTTGAAATCAAAACAAGTTATCTACTTTCAAAATACAATGGTGGGACAGACACAAGATAAACATTTACATTCCAGAAGAGGGAAAGGAAGCAAGAAAAAAGGTGTAACTGGTTCCAAGTAAGTCAACAATGTAACAGGAGAAACAATATTATTCGTTGAAGCTTCAGAATGATTTTTCACTCTCTGTTGCCTCTAGGACACAGTGGGGATTTGGACCCCTTCCTCCACAAAGCTTCTGGCAACCCCACCCCTATGACTTTGGAGGGCTCTGCCTATGTAGCGGTTCTCACAGACTGAGTCCCTTGCCTGCAGCTATCATGGGTTGGTGTTACACACTGGTGGCTGCACAATTCCTGAGTCTTGAGGGTGACCCTGACCCTGTGGCTTTACTAGGCATTGCTCTAGAGGGAGCTCTTTGTGGCAGCCTTGACTCCAATCTCAAATTTTAGCTCAGCTTGGCCTGAGTATGGTCTCTCTGCAGTAACTCTACTTCTGTGACAACCACTGTATGGTCTATGTCTAGGCCCCTAGGCTTTTGTGATATCCTTTGAAATCTCGGTGGAGGAAGCTGTGTGTTCCCAGCTCTTGCTTTCCGCATGCCTGCAGAATTAGAGCCACATGAACACTGCCAAGGCATATGACCTATGCCTTCTAGGACTTACACCTTCTACAAGTTATACCTTCGGAAGCACTGGGGCCATTTGAGCCACAGCTGGAGAGCTCAACATGTGCTGAAATGCAGAGAGCAGAGACCTGAGGCAGCCCTTGGCAGCTGCCCATCCCCCTAACCATTCTGCCTTCTTGGAGCTCTGGGCCTGTGTTGGGAAAGGCAGCCTCAATGATCTCTAAAATATCTTTCAAGTTTATCGCCCAAATGTCTTGATGAATAGCCTCTGGCTTTCTTTGATCCATACTAATTTCCTTCTCAATTGGTCCCATGTTCTTTCATTCTCTACCACATCACCAGGCTGCTAGTTTTCCAAATCTTTGCACGCTACTTCCCTTTTAATTATAAATTCTGTCTTTAAATCAACTCCTTCCTCTATATTTTACTGTAAGTGGTTAAAAATAGCCATTAAGCAGCCTGCATGGTTTGTAGCTTAGCTATTTTCTTTGACCAGATATCCTAATTTATCACTCTTAAATTTTGCCTTCTATAAAACCCTCAGGCACAGGCACAGTTCATCCAAGTTCTTTGTTACCTAATAACAAGGTGGGGGAGGGGGTCTTAATTCCAGTTTCCAACACCTTCTTTCACATTTCCTTCTGAGACCTTATCAGAATAGCCTTTTCTGTCCATATTTCTATCAACATTCTAGTCATAGCTACTTAAGTAATCTCTAAGGTCCAGACTTTCCCTAGTCTTCTCTTATTCCAGCTTTCACTCGAATCACTCTTAATGCTCCATTCATGATAATAAAGACTTTCTCTAGCCTACTCCTCCAAATTCTTGTAGCTTCTGCCCATTATCCAGTTCCAAAGCCATTTCCACATTTCTAGGTATTAGTTATACCAACAATCCCACTTCTTGGTAGAATTTTCTGTCTTAATTTGTTTTCTGTTGCTATAAGAAATTAAAGAATGGGTAATTTATAAAGAAAAAAAGTTTATTTAGCTCACAATTCTGGAGGCTGAGAAGTCTAAGAACATAGTACCTGTACCTCATAAGGGCCTTCTTATGTGTTATAACATGTCAGAGGGCATAAGGCTCTTGGCAAAAAGGCAGGAGCAAGACAGTCAGATACAGTTTATTTTTACAACAAATCTATTCTCCAGATAATAAACCCTCTCCTGTGATAACATAAATGAGGGCAGAACCCTCATTAATCTACTAATCTACTCATGAGGGCAGAGCCAACATTAATCCATTAGTGAGAGATGAGGGATTAAGTTTCCAGTACATGAGCTTTTGGGGGAAACATTCAAACCATCGTAACATATTTAAAGAAACATACCATAGCTCCCACAACTACCATCTTTTATCAGACAGCCTTCATATCACCATTTTTATAATTATGTCTTCTACTGTGTGAGCTTCTACAAGCAGAGACCTATTGTTTACCCAACAGTGAAACGCAAATGCCTGACAGATTGTGGGCATTTAGAAAACATTAGTTGGATAAATGCTTTTCAGATAGGGATATTTTATTTTAAGCAGCAGAAATTGACTCTGGTTAATTTCAGAACAGGGGATTAAATGGAATTTTCCCTTTTGAGCCTAGAGAACCAGGCTGAGAAAGAGGCAGGGAAAAATCCAGTCTAGACCACTTGGAAAGAGGAGCCACAGCAGTGGGCTCATAGCAGAGTGTCTGGTGAGGTCACAGCTACTAGGACAAGTAAATACCAACTATATATTTTGGAAACTTCTAGAATTGTTTCCACATACAGAAGTGTGAACAAATGGGAGTCAAACTGAGTCCTGAGAAGGAGAGAAGCTATAGCATTTTGTAACTAATGGAAAAAGTTACTTATAAAAAGTATTCACTATGCTCCAAAGATTTAGCAGACTAAAGAAACTATTTTGGTTCTGATAAGGTATGCAAGCTAATTAAAACCAATTAACCTATCAGCAGATAAAAGCCGAGGCCAAGTCCTCTCTTACTGCATAGTCCAATTTTAGAACAGGTATAGTTCTTCTAACTTTTGATATTCAAGACATAGTGAATAGACCTGAGTTGATTATTAATTGGTAGTTATGATTGAGGAAGCACTAGATTATTCTAGTTGTTGTGCTTTTAAAAAATACTGCTTATTTTTATAATTCAGTGTATTTTATTTCTCTCTTAAATAATTTGCACTGTAAAATATGGGGCTCAGTTTTGTTTCAAACAGGATAGAATGCTTACATATTTTTATGCCTTAGTGTGGTCTGAAAATATACACAAGTTTTGGTTAGCTTTTGCTTGCTCAACACTTATTTCCCTTGTTCTGATAACCGTACCTTGAGTTTTTCCTTTGGGCAATCAATCCTCTTCCCCTATGCTTACTCCAAGAATAAATGCGTGGCTTCTGAGAGCAGAAAAAGATAATCTATAATATTGTTTCTTTAACCTGGAGAATTAAAAACTAAAGTCACATTTTGAATGTCTGTGTGCTGAAAGCTCTGGTCTAGATAGTTTTCTTCAGATACTTGCCAGTTTTTTAGTGCTGGTTGGTTCTGTGAATAGAGATGATGAAGGTAATAGCTCTAGTGAACCTATCAAAACCAGAATATATGGGCTAGGGTTTAGTGATAAAATACCATTAGAGGTGAAAATCAGATTTATAATTAGCCATGTGAGAAAAAATAGAAAATAAAGATTAAACCAGGGAGTGGTAAATAATAGTTGAGATTTTTGAGAGAAGGCACCAAACCGTGCCTTAAAGTTAAGTTTCTTAATGCTACTTCAAGTGATATTTTACCTTATATTTAAAAACACAAAGAATTTTTATCAATAAATATTTATAGAGTAATATTAGTGCATAATTATATACATAGGCACACACATGTGAATATATATGTCATAATAAAAAATGAGGTTAATTGGTTATATGATCTGCTAAATACTCATGAATGATTTTCTTACAGCTGTGTAGTTCCATTAATGAACAATATCATGGTGAGTCTGGAATATATTCCCAAGGGTGTCTTTAGCCATCATTTTAGCTAGTTTGTTTTCATTTTAGGACATTGAAAAATTGTTTTGGGAAAAAATGGTTCTATGGCATTTCCTGCAAGATAATTAAGGGAGATAAAATGAAATAAGAGGTTCAGCATTCATAAAAAGTTTGGGAAGGTATCAATGTCATATTAGAGTCAGCTCAAAATATTTTTATTTACCATGTGTTTCTTGAGCTCTTGCTGTGAGTCCAGCACCATCTCTATTTGATGAAATAGGCATTCCTAAGTTCATCTCCATTGGCAAGCCAAGACTAGAAGAGACAGAAGTTTGGAACTCTCTGCTCCATATGACAGTCGTTTCTCCTTATCTGTGGTTTCACCTTTCAAAGGTTCGGTGACCCATGGAAAATTTCAGAAATAAAAAGTTTTAGGTTGCACACATTCTGAATATTATGCCAAATCTTGGGCTGTACTACTTCATCCCATCCAGGATGTGAATCATTCCTTTGTGCAATGTACCACGCTGTGTATTTTACCCACCCATTCATCATTTAGTAACTATCTCAGTTATCAGATCAACAAATCACAGGGAAAAGAGGGTGAGTACAGTCTAATAAGATATTTTGGGAGAGAGAAAGAGAGAACCAAAGAGAGACCACATTCATGTAACTTTTGTTACAGCATTTTGTCATAATTGTTCTATTTTATGATTAGTTGTTATTAATCTCTGCACCTAGTTTATAAATTAAACATCATCTTAGGTATTCACATACAGTTTGAAAAAACATAGTAGACATTTGCCAGTCCCTAACATGGAATCTAACAGGGCTACATAGGATGGGTACTATCTGGGGTTTCAGGTGTCTCCTGGGGTCTTGGAATGTATCCTCTGCAGATAAGGAGGAACTAATAATGTATCGTAAGTATGTATATATCCTCTACAAATATATGTATCCCCTGAAGATAAAGAGGAACTAAGTAAGATTCAATCTGATAAGCCACTTCATAATGGACTTTCACTCTAATTCTTCTAGGAAGAGTTGCATTCACCCAAGTGAATCAAGCCTAGAAAATGACAGTCTTAGGGTCAACCTAGTAACAATTTTTCTTTAGTGGCACTTTAGAAAGGCATGGTAGAGAAGGCAGCCCCAACTCATTTTCTCCGAGTACATGACAAGCGGGGCCAAGGCTTATATTTTCAGCTGGGGAGATTTTTTTTTTTTTAATATTAGGACAGACCTCTAAAATCTAAGTATCAGGGTATTAAATAAATAACAGAGGAGAGGAAGAATATAGAATCACCAATGAGGACTTGAAAAGTAAGAACTCTGATTTTGCCTTTCTAATTACCTGTCATCTTGGAAAAAGAGCTAAACCTGGAAAATGTGGAACATAAACCAGTGTCATCTGTAATATTTGTTTGTTTCTATTTTTAAGCAACAAAAATTTCCTTAAATCAAGTGCATCATGTGTACATTGGTTTTTAGATTTTAATAGCTTATTCCTCTTCCTTCTCTACAAACTAGAGCTTTAAACCCCCCACTTTGATAGTCCTATCTTTCCCCCAATAAGTTTCAGCTTATTTTTGAGTCAAACTTCTCTGGTCCTCTTTTACATGTTTGTGGTCACCCTATTATAACCATCTTGGACTCCGTCACTTTTTCTTTTTCTGTAGAATATGTCTTTTGAACATTCAAGCTCCCCAGAGAACATTCTGTAAAGCCACAGATGATTCTTTAAATACCTTCCTTTGTCTCTCATCAGGATTGTCTGTGCCTGTTACAGAGAAAGCTCCCTCAGGAAGGCAGAACTGTATTAGCCTAAATTATAGCTGTATTCTCAGTGCCTATTACAGTCGCCTGAGTATAAAAGGTGCTCAACACGGATTGAATGCATGAATGAACAAATAAGGAATGAATAGTGTTGGGGAATCTTGTAGCCAATCTCCTTTAGATACAAACAAATTTAAGACACATTATAGTCAGTCTTCGGTGGCAGGCAACAAAAATTGGCCTGGGTAAGATTAGGTAAAATAAAGGAAGTTATTGGAAGGAGATGGGTCAGTTCAAGGATATAGCTCTGAGGTCAGATCAAATCTGTCCTGCTGTCTATCATTGTGCAGCCCACACGCTAAGAATCGTTTTTATACGTACAAATAGTTGAAAAAATCAGAACAAGAATAACATATCATGACATAAAGATTATATGAAATTCAAATTCCGGTGTCCATAAATAAGATTTATTGGAACACAGCCATGCCCATTTGTTTACACATTTTCTGTGGCTGTTTTGCACTGCCGTGGCAGAGGGAAATAGCTGTGACTGAGAATGCACATCCAGAAAAGTCTAAAATATTTACTCCCGGGTCCTTTTCAGAACTTCGCCAATCCCTAAGTTAGCACATGGAATCCAACAGGGCAACAAGACCTTAGGGTGGTCATAATTCCTTAGGGAATTAAGAAAGCAAGGTAAGGCTTGGAATCCAGGTAGCAGAAAGGAAGAGACAGGTACTTGGGGTGTCACCAGAGAGTGAATCTGATTACCCACATCCTAATTTCATTCAACTCAGTTTCCAAATTCCAGAAAAAGTGAGCTTAAGGAGCTTGACTTAGTTTGCATGCCTGGCCCTTGACTATAGGAGTTGTGGGGAAGGAACCTTGATTAATGTCTGCATTATCTAGAAACTTAGAAAAAGGAACAGTTATTCATTCTAGTACTTGAACAGTGATGCCAAGTTAAAATCACACCTGAGCTTATTCCCTTCTCCCTTCAAAGATAAACAGAAGCCATTTGCTACCTGGTCACATACAGAGGCTGCTGCACAGTGGTGAGTGCACCACAGACATTGTGACTGCTTGTCATTAAGACTGAGTGGACCCCTCATTACAGACTGTGTTTGCATTCATCAGACTGTTACCTCTCATCTCTTCAGCTGCATTTTGTCCCAGATGATCACACCCAGATGTGTGCCATCTCATGCCAAAGTGACTGAACACCTGGGAGCCTCAGGGATTTTTTTAAGGATTTACTTTCATTTTCTCAATCTAGTTTCAAAAGTGGTAAACTACCTATTAATAAAGCTATCCTGGAGATTTTTCAATGAGACTACAAAGGCATTAGTGCTTGTCCAAATAGGTGTAAGAAGATGAAGAACAGGATGTCTTGGTATCATATCAGCAGCGTATATCCAGTCTTTATCCTCAGGAGCTATTGCCTAAAATTAAAAATGACCATTCAGGGCTGGGCACAGTGGCTCATGCCTATAATCTCAGCACTTTGGGAGGCTGTGGTGGGAGGATTGTTTGAAGCTAGGCTGGGCACAGTGACTCATGCCCATAATCTCAGCACTTTGGGAGGCTGTGGTGGGAGGATTGTTTGAGGCCAGGACTTTGAGAGAAGCCTGGGCCACATAGTGAGACACTGTCTCCACAAAAATAATAAAAAATATTAACCAGTCATGGTGGCACACTCCTGAAGTCCCAGCTACTTTGGAAGTCTGAGGTGGGAGGATCACTTGAACCCAGGAAGGAATTGGAGACTACAGTGAGATATGAGTGCACCACTGCACTCCAGCCTGAGTGATAGAGGCCCTGTCTCTGGAAATAAAAAATAAAAAAAGAAAAGAAAAGAAATGACTATTCAGTGACCATGAGAAAGTCTAAGAGCAACAGTTTCAGTGGCAAGCCTGTTTTACTTTTGCTTCTGCAGGAGGCTCATGCTAAGCAGAATGAGGAGATAGAGATAATTTCCAAGCTTGAAAAAAGATGAAATTCAGTTATTATTTTTTAAGTGAAGTGTAATAGATAGATAAGAGCTTGGTAAATTACCTTCCAGTGTGAGAGTCCAAGTGCCCCTGCATAAAAGGCAGTTCCTGGAGAGCCCATACACAGTGGGCAAAGGCAGTGAGTCTGTGTGGGTGTGTGCAATGATAAAATATTCTTCTTTATTTTTGAGTTCCAGAGAAAATGGATATGTAGGGATCCTGTTTATCTTTTTGTTTTTGATTTTTTTTTTTTTTTTTTTTTTGAGCAGAATAGAGACTTTGGGGAATTTGAGGGATTGGTGCGAAAGTGTTTGTGGGTGTTCTTTCTTTATGTCAAGCTATGAAATAAAGTCATTTTATCTCAAAAAGCCCTTAGTTGATGCTGGGGAAAATATTTCTATCCAACCTGGAGGACACGGGAAAGGATCTAGCAGCCAGTGCTTTGAGAAGGAAAAGACAGATGTTCTTGGGGGAGTGGAGGAGGGGGAATGAGGAGAGACATATGAGGTGACCAGTCTGGACTCTGATGGCATCTTTCCCCTGCCCAGACACCCGATGCCATGTTTAAAAAATTCATCAATGTGGAGACGGCAGGAATACCAATTAAGTTAGTTTAGCATAATAGAAAATCAATTTTAATTGTCCCAAATGGAACTATTGTTTACAGTTACAGATGGCTGCCAGGCAGTACCTGGAGAAAATAAATGAGTCCAGGGAGTAGGGAATTGCTTTCAATTCCTAGGAGTATTGCAGGAAAGACATTGGAGAATTCAGTCTAAGAAAGTTTTTGCAAAGAAAACAGATTCCCTGTAAAGGCTGAAAAATGTTTCCCTTTAGGACTATGCAGTTAGTAGTGTCGTCAATTTCCACCTCTCACCTTTCTCCTGGTGTTTTCATAGGAGGAATGGACCCTCAAAATAGTTGTTATTGCATGGATTAAAATCATTGGCAAAGAAGAGGGGAACCTTGATGAATGTCCTCATTATTCAGAACTTAGAAAAAGGAATAGATATTCATTACAGTACTTAACAGTGTTGCCAAGATAAAATCTTTTTTTCCTCTGTTTTTTTCTTTTCTATCTGTTATGCTAAACTCACTTAATTGGTATTCCTGCCTTCTCCACATTGAAGAAGAGGGGACAGCTAATGAGTACAAAAATATGGTTACACAGAAGGAATAAGACCTAGTGTTTGATAGCACAATAGGATGACTATAGTTAACAATAATTCATTGTATATTTCAAAATAATTAGAAGAGTGGACTTGTGATATTCTTAGTGCAAATAAATAAATGCTTGAGGTGATGGATATTCTAATTACCCTGATTTGATCATTATACATTGTATGCACGTATCAAAACATAATGTTTCCTGTAAATATCCATAACTCTGATATACCCATAATAATTAAAAATTTAAAAAAACTAAAGAGAGAAGAACATCAGCAACCACAAACCAAAACTACCTCCTACCTGATCACTTTACCGTGTCTTCTCTTTTGCTTCTCTGAACTTCTAGTGCAAAGGAAGTATTTATTTTATTGCACTTCATCTTTCCTATCTATAGCTATTTGCATATTTGCCTTATCTTTCAACTAGTATAAAAATTCCTCAAAGGCAGTATTTCACTTTAGCAGAGCTAAACCCATCACTTCACTACTAACTGTGTATGCCTTGAGTGACTTAATCTATTTCCTTAGCTGTAAGCTGGGGGCCATGATGACATCTGATTTATAGTTCTGTGGTGAGTATCAAGTTAATAAGAATGAACCTTCCAGAAAAAATTCTGGTGTGTAGTTTGAACTCAGACATTGACTGTTAATATGATTTTTATTTCCTTTTTGTCTCTTAAGAAATAATTGAAACACATCCTATACAAAAATATGTAATTCTCCTATTGAGAAATCCTAGACAGGAACAAAAAGAAAAAGTTGGAGATAGATGCTCACTCTAGGTAACTTTCAGCATAGATTGGCTTAAGACCCATTGCAACAAAAGTACATGAAATTCTTATTAATATTGCAAATTCCTGATGAATGAGAATCTCTGGGATTCTTATTCGTATCTTCAGTAAGCTTGCCAGATTATTCCGTTACAAGCTACATTTTCAGAAGTTTGGTCAAAGGAAAGTGGTCATCTCTGGATGTATCAATTGGTAAAACCCAGATGTAGGCTCTAAAATGCCCATGTGGAATGTTTCATTCATTTTGTCATGAAAGATGACTTGCCTGGAGTGGCTGCAATCCCACTCCTGTTTCTATCCACTACCGTGAGGATAACTGATTTCTCAGACAGTCTCTTAAAGTTCATGGGCATGGCTCCTTGGACCTCCCTTGTAAAAACTATGGGGCTATTTCATTTGCAGAATTGAATAATTAACATAAATCATTGCATGGTGCAATATAAATCCACTGTGAGCCTGACCTTGATCTAAGTGTCTGCCATGATTAAAGGCACCAGCATGACCCTTCACCCACTGTGGAGCTCAGTAGAACACTTTCCATAAAGTGCAGGCATAGGATTTTATCCTCCAGAGTCTGCTTTGATGAAACTTTGCTCAGATTTTAATTTCTCTAAAACCTAATCGTGTTTGGGAGTTAGCTGGGTTTTTGTTTTCCGAATTTGAGTTATGACTGTTGAGTCACAGAAGATATCTAGTGCTTCAAACAGAACTGGATTTGACTTTTGGTTCTGTGTGACCTTAGGCAAGCCATTCAACCTTTGTGTCCCTAGGTTTTTCCATGTGTAAAATGGCGATATTGATAAACACCTCGAAGTGTTGTGAGAATTAGGAATACACTTGAGAGCCCCTGTTACACATGTGAAATGCTCAATAGATGCCAGTTTCCTATTCCTTTAAAACACAAGTGCAGTGTTAAATGTAGAAGGAAAAAAAAGACATCAAATATTTTCTCTTAACTCAGTTTCTCAACTTAAGGACTACTGACATTTTGAGCCTGATAATTTTTGTTTTTGAGGGAGGAAGGGAGACAGGTGCCCCATGCATTGTAGCACGTTTAGTTTTAGCAGCATCCCTGGCCTCTGTCCATTAAATATCAGTAGCACCGCCCAGTTCTGACAATCAAAAATGTCACCAGACATTGACCATGTTCCCTCGAGGACAGAAATCACCCCATTGAGGAGCACTGTCCTGGTTCTTGGCCTAGAATTTTAAGCCTATAAGTTGTAAAATCAAACTAAGAAATCAAACTGTCAGTTTTACCAAGCCAATATCAAAAAGGGAACTAACCTAGCTATGATGGTTATCCTTTTGACAGCTCCCCAGCCTTATGAAGGGGAACTCTCACAGTGCTATTAGGGTGTAGCAAAGGAAGGTGCCTGTCACCTTGAGGACTCACAAGTAATCCATGAGCCACAACTAAGGTTAGATTCTTAGACTTTAAAACGCTGTAACCTCAGGCTGGCTTATGTCACAGATTTTACTAAACTAGGGCCAGTGACTCTTGCTGTGTAAACTAGAGGACAATGACTTTTGCATGAGGCTGATATAAAAATGAAATGGTAAGGCCAAGCATGACGGCTCACACCTGTAATCCCAGCACTTTGGGAGACAGAGACAGGAGAATCCTTTGAGTCCAGTTGTTCAAGGCCAGCCTGGGCAAAATAGGGAGACCCTGTCTCAATAAATAAATAAATCAAGTAACAAATAAAAAAAATTAACTTGACATGGTGGTACATGCCTGTGGTCTCACCTACTTGGGATGCTGAGGTGGGAGGACCTTGAGACTGGAAAGCAGAGCCCGCAGTGAGCGTGTGTCACACCACTGCACTCCAGTCTGGGCAACAGAGTTGACACCATATCTCAAAAAAAAAAAAAGAAAGAAAGAAAGAAAAAGAAAGAAAGAAGGAAGGAAGGAAGGAAGGAAGGAAAGAAAGATCAAGAAAGAAAGAAAAAAGGAAGAAAGGAAAGGAAGAAAGAAAGAAATGGTTAGTTCATTAATTCTTAAAGAGAAATGGAACGTCAGGGGTATTTCCATTCAAATTGGTATAACCAGCACTTGAGATTCTTAAAACAACTGCAGGGGAAGCCAGATCACTGAAGATCCTTGGTGAGCATTCAGTGAGAACTAGAGGCATGAGCTGGAGCACTGAATGGCATCAAGCTGTCAGAGCCTGCTGTGTCTTTCCAAATAGGGATGTAGACCAGTGAGGCACACTGGCTAGTTCTTTGAAGGGTATTGACAACATTTGCCTCTGCAACCTGACTCTTTGCTTCTGTTGATGACCAAGCATTTTAGTATTTTTTCATTTAAGTTTAATCAGGTCCCATTAGAGCTTTGATCTTTGCCTTGGGAAGGCTTTGTGAATTATTATAGGAATCTAACTGGTGGTGTTTTTATAGAGGTACCATAAATCTAGGTTCCTGAGATGCACCTTCCTGTAGACCCCACCTATCCACTAGACTGTCAGTCTCTCTGCTGCCAGCCTCCCCTCAGCACACTTGATCTTTCAACTATTCTTTTCACAAGCAGGGCTATGGCATGCTTTCTTTCACACTCTGCATCTCTCTTGGAATCATGTTCACGAGGTAAGAAAGTGGACAAGTCAAGGCTACACAAATCACACTGAGACCCCAAATATCTTGTTTCCTTTCCTCCTGGTAAAATTGAGGTAGATGCAGAGAAGTTTTTGGTCATTTATTTTGTATTAATTTCTTAGAAATTGCTTTGTCCTCGCTTTATACATAATTAGCATTTAATAAACATTTGTCAAACAGCAAATGTTTGTATGAATAAACAAATGTGTGTTATTGTAATAAGTTATTATTATTATTATTATTATTATTATTATTGTTTGAGACAGAGTCTCGCTCTGTCGCCCAAGCTGGAGTGCAGTTGCATGATCTTGGCTTACTGCAACCTCTACCTCCCAGGTTCAAGCGATTCCCGTGCCTCCGCCTCTCGAGTAGTTGGGATTACAGGCACCTGCTACCATACCTAGCTAATTTTTGTATTTTTTGTAGAGACAAGGTTTCACAATGTTGGTCGGGTTGGTCTTGAACTCCTGACCTCAAGCAATCACCTGTCTTGGCCTCCCAAAGTGCTGGGATTACAGGCATGAGCCCCCATGCCTGGCTGGTTATTATTTTTCTGATACCAGCTGCTGATTGCCTTTTAGGGCTTATACGGGCCAGGTATTAACACTGTTTAGGGATTATCCTAGTTCATCTTCATAATGGTTCAATCCATTTTGACCTTCTTTTATCACCAGATTTTAACTTAAGTAGTTTTCCCAAGCTCATCCAACTGACATGTGACAGAGGTGGGATTTGAACTGCTGCCCAAAGTGCATATTTACTATGGCTCAGGACCCTTACATCTAATTGGTAAAACCCAGAGGTAGCCTCTAAAATGCCAACGTGTGATGTTTCACTCATTTTGTCATAAAAGAGGACTTGGTTGGGGTGGCTGCAGTCTGCTGAGATCCCACTCCTGCTTCTATCCACTATGGTGAGGATAATTGATTTCTCAGACAGTCTTGTAAAGCTCATAGGCATGGCTTCTGGACCTCCCTTGTAAGAACTGTGGGGCTTTAGTTCCCACGAGAGCACAAGCCCCAAGAGAACTGTGGTGTGATTCCTTTTTCAGCAACAGGCTTCAGTGTCTTCAACCAGGAAGGCCTTGGCAGCATTTCCAAGGGGTCAGGGAATTGTAACTATGACAATGGAAGTTCTGCAAAATTAAGGCCAGGGTGAAGGCAGCTGCAAGTTAATGCCATTTGATGGTTCTTGCGTAAAGTGCATTAGAAAGCATCACAGAATAAGCTTCCTCATTCTGTCCGCCATGACACCTTATTTAATTCAGGTATGATAGGTTTTAAACAAGAGTATAAAAAGGTTTCAGTTACTGTGATCTTTCCTCTCTTCCTAGGAAAAGGTTTCATATCAAGGTTTCTCTCTCTGATTCTACCTTGTTCCTGACATTAAGCTGTTAATTCACTGATATTAAAATGCTTTTTTAAAAATCCTTCTAAACTGACTGGGTTTTTCAAACATCAAAAACATAATACCAGAGCTGCCAGCTCTTGTTCCCTGTAGCTTATGTTTTGGCTAACAGCCAAACATCGGCTGATCAAACTCTAAGAAGCCAGACAAATTTAAAACCATAGCTGCCCAAATAGAAATTAATAAGATGGTTATCAGTAAATGGAAAATAACTTTCATGTAATACCTCTAAATATCGGTTAATGAAATAAGTCCTCAATTTTCCTAAGTGAAAACTAGACCTCTGATTAATGTTAAGATTTAGCTGGCAGTTTTATCATTTAAGATTTAGCTAGTCCTTTTTAAAAATATTTAAATAATTCTCATTCATTATTTTCTTTCATGTAACAATCTAGAGCACTTTTCCATCTGTTAATCCATTGAATTAAATCTTCACAAGAACTGTGACAATCTGGCATTATTCTCCACTCAGTTTTGCATTTGAGGAAACTGAGGCCTGGATAAATTAAGTGACTTGCTCAGCTAGAAAATGACAGTGTGAAAATATCAATCCAGTTTTTTTCACTATACATTTACTGTTCTTTTCACTCAAGTAAACCATTTCTTGGTAGAACTGAACAGCTTTTACTTTCACTATAAAATATACTTAGCTAGCCAGGCATGCCTGTAATCCCAACTATTTGGGAAACTGAGGCAGGAGAATTGCTTAAACTCAGGAGGTAGAGGCTGCAGTGAGCTGAGATAGCACAATTGCACTCCAGGCTGGTTGACAGAGAGACTCTGTCTAAAAAAAAAAAAAAAAGAAAGAAAGAACCAAAAATATTTAGCCATTATATTTTCTTTCCTGCTAGAGCTCTGTCTGTTGATCTGGGACACAGGCTGGGTCTAGAACTTTTGCTCTTACATGGGACTTCTCAGTTAACCTTAATATTCAATTCACATAATACCATTCATTTATTTGCAATTTGCTGGGGCAGAAGGCATGGAGTTAAAGAGGTCATAGATAATTCCAAGTTAACAATGAAGCAAAATTAGAGTCACTTTTTGATGATCTCAAAATAAATTTGTATCATTTTGTGTGAGTAATGTCAGGCACCTGAGACCTGTTTCTCAGTAACAGTTACCTTTAGTATAAAAAAATTGTTCTGATGCTTAGTAACTTCCAACAAGACAAATTGGTTTTGCTCATTAATCTGTAATTTGGGCAGGATTTAGTGGGGATAACCTGTCTTAGCTCTACATTGCAACAGCTGAAGTGGATGAAAGGCTGAGCGGTAGAATCATTTGACGCTTCGTTCACTCACTGGGCTGGTGGTTGAGGCTGGCTGCTGGCTGAGGACCTCAATTCCACCCCATGTGAGCCTATGCATGTCATCTGTCTGTCTAGGCTGCTTTATGCTTCTTCACAGCATGGTTGCTGGTTGCTTAGGGACGACATTTCTAAGAATGCAATCAAGAGAGACAGGTGGAAGATATAGCCCAAGGATTCAGCCTTGGAAAACAATATGGCATCATTTCTACCGTAGTCTGTTGGATGAAATAATCTTAATCCCCCACCCAGATCAAAGGAGAGGTACATAGATCTCACTTGTGGATAGACAGGAGTGTCACTCATATAAAGAACGCATGTGGAATGGGCCATCGTTGGAACACATTGTCTTCCCAGAAGAGCTTGGTAATCTCATTATCCTTGGTTGCTGGAGTCCTAAAGGAAAGGCAGGAAGACAAGAAAGAGGCAGGCAAGTTCTTGTTGAATTAATAGGTTTAAGAGCCACTTTTGTGGTCAGCCAGCTTAGGCATATAAAAGTCCTATCTTGCCCTTACTAATTCTCCTAACTTCTGGTCTTTCTTGCATCATTTAATTCTCCTATATTTTGGCTTCTTTATGTTCTAAATTCAAATGACTCTCTAGACCTGAAAAAAAAAAAAAAAACGACCACCATGGGACTTTTAATCTTTTTAAATCTTGTTCATCATGATAAAATACCTAAAACTCAGAACTAACTCTAACACAAGTTCACATTCTACTAGTTAGTTGCTTAGCTACTTAGCTAGCCAGGCGTGCTATGCTCTTTAGATAGCAAAAAGAATACCGAACCCTTTTATTTTGTAAGGTGGATCAGGGTGTAGAAGACAGGTTCCCTGGGGCCTGATTCATATCGTGCCCTTGTTTAAGACTCATAATGTTGTTACACAGACAACTGAGCTGTAATTGTAGCATTCAGATTCCCATTTAAAATAGATCCCATTTCCCTGAGGGAAATAATCCAACTCGTGTATTTTCCTGAGTGGGGCATCAGAAATGCTTCTGTCAGCTCTGAAGTGTCACAATGACACTTCATTGTGAAGGCAACTCTAGTTTTCACATCCTTGCTGCACACCCTGCAATACATTTAAAGCTTGAGGATCTCCCTTTCTAACGTATCCCAGATTCTTTCCATTTTCCTTTGATGCCTACTATACCTTCCCTGACCCCCAACTCAAATTCTGAGCTGTAGATGCATTCTGACCCAGGTTTTATTGTTCCTTATGGGTCAAACTGATAATAATTGTTCAGTTGTAGTACGTAGAAGTATCAGTCCAAAAACTCAGGTGTGCAAATAATTATTTTGAATGAATAAATATATATTTGTAGTTTGAGCTTCCTGTTTCACTGGGTGGTGGAACCTGATGTTGAGCAGGCCAGTCTCCCGGCTTACCATCTTTTCCCAGGTTCCTGGTGCCGTAGATGTTCCCCTGACCTTGGTACACGGCCAGGTAAAGCCACAGTTCTTGGTCATTGCTGTGGTCTAAATGTTTGTGTCCCCTTAAAATTCACATGTTGAAATCCTAATCCCCAAGGTGATGGTAGTAGAAGGTGAGGCCTTCGGGGAGATGGTTAGGTCTGAAGGCAAGCCCTTGTGAATGTGATTAATGCCCTTAGAAAAGAGATGCAAGGAAGATCCCTTGCCCCTTCCACCATGTGAGGTCACAGTGAGAAGGCAACATCTAGGAATCAGAAAGCAGACTCTCACCAGACACTGAATCTGCCAGCAACTTGATTTGGGACTTCCCAACCTTCGGAATTATGAGAACTACATTACCACTGAGTTAATAGTATTGTGTGATGGCAGCTCTAATGGACTAAGTCAATCATTTTCCCTCCACATGAAATACTGGAGATGTATAATACCTCTTTCTAGACATGAATTCATGTCTGATGAACCTCACCAAACGATATTCTGAGGTCTGCCTCTCAGGTATTGCTATGCTCTTTAGATAACAAAAAGAATACTGAGTAGCTTTCCCAAGTAGACACATAGAAACTCAGTGGGGACAAATTATTTCACCAGTTTCTGCAGGCAAAATCGTTTATAGCTCCCCAATTCTGAATGGAGGGAAGGGAGGCAGAAGAAGTCCCTTGAGCCCTGTCTCCACATGCCACATGGACAGTTCTATTCTGTTGTTCCTTCTCTGTGTTGGAGTGTGGAACTCAGAATCTCACTCTCCCTTGGGCTTTACCCTGGAAAGTGACTGATATATGGTTCCAGCTGCCCTTTCTCCCAGCTCATTTTGGAGGTTCATAGGCCTGTTCAGGTTTGTGTTAGACCGTAGCCTCTGAAATCTTTGTCTAACCCGGAAAGAAGGGGAAAATGTGGAATAGGCTGGCTCTTTCTGATCAAAATCATTGCAGTATGACTGGACCTTGCCTTTTTAAATCTAGTAATTTGAATCCTGTGTCATTCTATATCATCTTTTCTCTAAGTACAAATGCAGTCAACTCAGGGTAGAGGGAGGAAGTCTACAGTTTGAATAAACTAAAAACAGGCAATGAACAGCAGTCAAAGGTTCCTGCTCTTCTTTTTCTGTTTCAACAATTCTCCCAGGAACTTAAGATGTTTCTTTGTACTTCCACATGTACCATCTTCTCTATGCTTACGTTTCCATTTACAGACCCATTGCTACTGCCTTGTAGGGCTATGACACCTGCCCTCCCCCCCACCTCCAGAGGTCAGTTTATGCTTCTACCCGCTGACATTCTCCCCACATCCACACTTATATTTGGTTGCCAGAAAATTTCTTTCCACAAATTTATGATGTAGTTACATCTGTGTCTACATCCCAAGACTTCCAGAACACTTTCACTTCGTCTCAAGTTCATTTCTCCAGATTTGTAGAAGACTGAAAGAATTAAGTAACATGTCAAGGTCACAGACTGGTAGGTGGCAGAATGGCCTGTGAAATTCATGGCTATGAACTGAGCTGTGTCTCTGAAATTTGTACGTCAAAGCCCTAACCCCCAATGTATACTGTTTTTGAGATGAGGTCTTTGGGAGGTACTTACGGTTTGATGAGGTAATAAAGCTGTGCCCCTTATGATGGGATTAGTATTCTTAAAAGAAGGGAAACAATCGAGAGCTAGTGCTCTCTCTTCTCCTCTCTCCTTTTCTTCCTCTCTGCATGTAAGGATGCAGCAAGAAGGCAGCTGTCCTCCAGACAGAAAGACTCTTGTATGAATAGGCCAGCACCTTGATCTTAGACTTCTCAGCCTTCAGAACTAGGAAAAAGAAATTTCTGTTGTTCAAGCAATTTCTGTTGTATTTAGTCTATGGTATTTTATTACAGCAGGCTGAGCTAATGAAGACATTCATGTTTCTTTTCTTTTTTCTCCAACTTACTGCATTTCCTTCTTATAGTCTCCCATGACTCCATGATAACGTACTATCATCAGTTGTCTCCCATTGTGCCTTTCAACAAAAAGATCAGAAAAGGAGAAGGGTCAATTGATATACAGAAAAATTTTTTCCTTAGTGAAATTGCCTATTTCCTCTCCCCAGGTCCCTAATTAATCCTTGAAACCAGGCTTCCTGGTTGCTTGTAACAAACGGAACCTACAAGAAATATGGAAGTAAGTTTTGCTAGCAATGTGCACTCTGATTTGCTAGGCTGGACTTTAATGCAGACTGGTAAGCAGGCATCTCTGAGCTGGTAGAAGCGTACACTCCTGCTGTATTCCATCATGTGGCTCAAAGGCCAGGGCTAATAGCACTTAAATAATAAATGCACTTTTTTAAAGTATGCATCATTTAAATTTGAGGGAAATGAGCAAACCTGGGAAGACTACAAGGGATGTACTTTCCTGACAATGATATCATCAAAAAAAGACATTAAGAAACGAGAGGAAATCTTCAAGATCTCAACAAGAGACTGTTTTAGAAAAACTAGTCATCAAATTTTACCTTTGTGACTGGCATGGTCACTGTTGTATTAGCATATAGGTGGGTCGGGATATAGTAGGGATTAAGGACAGATATGGAAATGCAGGGATGGGGAGAAAAAGGATTCCAGGAAATAGGTCTTTGAGAAAAATTGAGGACATTATGCAATTTCAAGACTTTGAGGATAACTATGGTTTAATCTCTCAACATAGGTTTCTGGGTTTTGTTGTTAATGCTTTTTCAAGGTAATAAGTTCCAGTGGGTGCCACAAAAAGCCCCTCTTCTTCTATCTTGCTCCTAGAGAGATCATGGAGACTATGAGGGTGCTGGATCTGAGAATTCAGCATGAGCCCTAAGTGAATTCAGATGATACTCTCAATCACTATTCACTGATCCTCAAAGAAAGTCTATGGGACACAGGTGTCAGAATTCTCTGGTGTTAAAAATACAGTGTATTGGGTTCCAGTCCAGGTGAACTGAATCCAAATCTTTAGGAATGGAGTATAGGATACTGATTTGTTTTGCGGGGCATGGGGTCTCCCTGTATTACTCAGGCTGGTTTCAAACTCCTAGACTCAAGTGATCCTCCTGCTTCAGGTAGCTCCTGTTCTCAAGTAGCTGGGATTATAGACATCCATCACAGAGCCTAGCTGGGAATGGAATTTTTACATTTTTATGTTCATATGTATGCATGTATGAATGAATTATTTAGTGGGTACATGTGCAGGTTTGTTACAGGGGTATATTGAATGATGCTGAGGTTGGGGTTTCTACTGACTCCATCACCCAAATAAGGAACACAGTACCCTGTGGGAAGTTTTTCAGTCCTTTTCCTCCTCTCGTCCTCCCCACTTTTTGATTCCTCAGTGACTACTGTTTTCATCTTTATGTCCACGTGTATCCATGGTTAGCTCCCACTTATAAGTGAGAACATGTGATATTTGGTTTTTTATTTCTGTATTAATTCACTTAGGATAATAGCCTCCAGATGCATCCATGTTTCTACAAAAGAAATGATTTTGTTCTTTTTTATGGCTGCATAGTATTCCATGGCATATATGTACTGTATTTTTTAATCCAATCCACCACTGATGGGCACCAGAATTAATTTAAGTCTGTGCTACTGTGAATAATACTGTGATAAACATATGCATACATGTGTCTTTTTGATAGCATGATTTATTTTTCTTTGGGTAGATACCTAGTAATGGGATTACTGTGTTGAATGGTAGTTCTATCTTTAGTTCTTTGAGAAATCTCCAAACTACTTTCCACAATGTCTGAACTAATCATGCCAACAGTGTATAAGTGTCCCCTTTTCTCTGCAATCTTGCCAACATCTGTTATTTTTTGACCTTTTAATAACAGCCATCTGACTGGTGTGAGAAGGTATCACATAGTGGTTTTGATTAGTGTCTCCCCACTAACTGGTGATATAAAGCTTTTTTTCCTGTACTTATTGGCTGCTTGCATGCCTTATTTTAAGAAGTGTCTGTTCATGTTCTTTGCCCACTTTTTAATATTTTTTTTTCTTGTTGATTTAAGTTTCTTCTAGATTATGGATATCAGTCCATTGTTGAATGCTTAGTTTACAAATACTTTCTCCAATTTTGTAAGTTGTCTGTTTAATCCATTGGTAGTTTCTTTTGCTGGGCAAAAGCTCTTTAGTTTAATTAGTTCTTAACTGACAGTTTTTGTTTTTGTTTGCTTTTGAGGACTTAGTCATAAATTCATTGCCTAAGCTGATGTCCAGGAGAGTATTTCCTAGATTTTCTTCTGAGATTTTTATAGTTGGAGGTTTTAACATTTCGGTTTTTAATTTATCTTGAGTTAACTTTTGTATGTGGTGAGAGGTAGAGGTCTAGTTTTACGCTTCTGCATATGGTTAGCTAATTTTCTCAGCACCATTTATTGAATAGGAAGTCCTTTCCCTATTGTTTATTTTTATCAACATTGTCAAAGATAAGTTGATTGTAGGTGTGTGGCTTTTCCTCTGAGTTTCTTATATTTTATTGGTTTATGTGCCTTTTTTTTTTTCTTAACAGTACCATGTTGTTTTGGTTACTGTGGCCTTATAGTTTGAAGTCAGGTGATGTGATGCATCTGGCTTTGTTCTTTTTACTTCAGATTTCTTTGTCTGTTGTGACTCTTTTTAGTTCTATAAAAATTTTAGAATTGTTTTTTCTAATTCTGTGAAAAATGATGTTGGTAATTTGATAGGAATAGCATTGAATCCATACATTGCTTTGAGCAGTATGAACATTTTAACAATATCCATTCTTCCAATCCATAAAAATTGGACATTTTTTCATTTGTTTTTGTTTTCTATGATTTATTTCAGCAATTTTTTATAATTCTCTTTCTAGAGATCTTTCACCTCCTTGGTTACAAGTATTCGTAGGTATTTTATTCTTTTGTGGCTATTGTAAATGGGATTATATTCTTGATTTTGCTTTCAGCTTGAATGTTATTGGTGTATAGAAATGCTACTGATTTTTTTACATTGATTTTGTATCCTAAAACTTTACTGAAGTTGTTTGTTCGATCTAGGAGTCTTTTTTATGGAGTCTATACAGTTTCCAACATGTAGAATCATATCATCAATGAAGAGAAATGATTTGATTTCCTCTTTTCCTGTTTGGATACCTTTTATTTCTTTGTCTTTCCTGATGGCTCTGGCTAGGACTTCCAGTGTTAAATTGAATGGGAGTGAGAGAGTAGACATCCTTGTCTTGTTCCAGTTCTTAGGGGGAATACTTCAATCTGTTGCTGTTTTAGTATGATATTGGCTATGGGTTTGTCATAAAAGACTCATTATTTTGAGGAGTGTTCCTTTGAAGCCTAGTTTTTTAGAGTTTTTATCATGAAAAGATGTTAAATATTATCAAATGTGTTTCCTGCGTCTATTGAGATGATTGCATGTTTTTTTGTTGTTGTTGTTCTGTTTATGTGGTAAATCACATTTATTGACTTGTGTATGTTGAACTAAACTTGCATGCCAGAAATAAAGCCCATTTTATTGTGTTGAATTAACTTTTTGATGTGCTGCTGGTTTCAGTTTGCTGGTAGTTTGTTGATAATTGCTACATATATGTTAATCAGGGATACTGACCCATTGTTTTATTTTTTTGTTGCATCTTTGCCAGATTTTAGTATAAGTATACTACTGGTTTCACAGAATAAGTTAGAGAGAAATCCCTCCTCCTTAGTTTTGTGGTACAGTTTCAGTAGGATTGGTACCAGCTCTTCTTTGTACATCTGGTGGGATTCAGCTGTTAATCCATATGGTCCAGGGCCTTTTTCGGTTGGTAGATTTTTTATTACTAATTCAATTATAGAACTCATTATTGGTCTGTTCAGGATTTCAGTTTCTTCCTGATTAAATCTTGGAAGGTTGTGTATTTTCAGGAACTTATTAATTTTCTCTAGATTTTCTTGTTTGCGTTTATAAAGGTGTTCATAATAGTCTCTGAGGATCTTTTGTATTTCTGTGGAATTGGTTGTCATGTCCCTTTCACTATTTCTGATTTTGCTCATTTGAGTCTTCTTTTTACCTTGTTAATCCAACTAGTGGTCTATTGTTTACACTTTCAAAGAACCAACTTTTCAAAACTTCATTGATCCTATGTATGATTTTTGGGATCTCAGTTTTATTTATTTCTGCTCTGCTTTTAGTTATTTTTTTTTTCTTCCGCTAGCTTTGTGTTTAGTTTGTTCTGGTTTTTATAGTCTCTTTAGATGCAAGGGTAAATTGTCAATTTGAGATCTTTCTTTTTGATGTAGGCATTTAGCACTATAAACTTTCCTCCAAACACTGCTTTTGCCACGTATCAGAGGTTTTGGTATGTTGTGTCTGCATTTTCATTTTTTTCAAATAATTTTTTTTATTTCTGCCCTAATTTTGTTGTTCACTCAAAATTTATTCAGGACAATTCATGTAATTGTGTGGTTTTGAGAGTTCCTCTAGTATTGATTTCTATTTTTATTCCACTGTGATCTGAGAATATGCTTGTTATGATTAATTTTTTTTAATTTATTGAGACTTGCTTAATGACATTGCACATGGTCAATCTTAGAGTATTGGGGTGGGAAGAACCCACATTCTGTAATTGTTGGGTAGCATGTTGTGTAGATATCTAATTAGTCAGGTGTCAAACTTAAGAACTTTTTTGTTAGTTATCTGTCTCGATCTGTCTAATGTTGTCAGTGGGATGTGGAAGTCTGGAAACTGAATATTTGACAAGAATCTTTCAAAAATATTTTGTGGTAAAGTTTGAGAGCCCTGTATTATAAGCGTCTTATTGTCTAGAATGGTGCCAAGCTCCTATTAGTCATCAAATGATTATTGCAGTGAATTAATACATCTCCAGTGTGTAGCCTAATTACTGACACATGATAGGTTTCAGTTAATGTTTGTTGAAGGAAACTTTATGATAGCTTCTGGTTCTTAAGAGGCACTTTGAAATGAAAGAATCCATCTATTCACCTACCAAGCCAACTGTCTATTCACACATCCATTCAAGTTTTGGGGTTTGGCATAGCAAGGAGATACTGCAAGGGAAGTTTGTTATACAGGCAGAAATTCTTTATTTGTTTAGGAGAGAGTCTCAAGTAGAATTA